CGTGGAGTTGTGATTTGATTATCAAACGGCCTTTGGATACTTGCGCGTGCTGCGGCTCTCTTGAAAGTGCCACCAATCCCATCACAGGGCGATTTTCCGTGAGAGGTTGCGAAAAAATGCCATTCAGCATCCACACCAAAGTCCGCTTGATGATAAACTAGATTAATGAAATTTTTTCGATTTTTATATTGAGAACTAGCACCATCAGAAAAGTGGAAAATTTTCTCAACACAATATTTTTCTTTTAGAATATTTATAATTTTCCTAAGGAACAAATGCACAGCTACAGTGTCGTGGACGGAGGACTCGGCAATAACTACAAAACTATCTTCCGTTTGACTTCCTCAGTGAGACAACTGGTGTCAGAGTGACCCTCAAGACTATCCAATGTCTTACTAATAGCCTCATGAATATCATTGATCGTTTTCCTCTTTTCTGCAGCACTTCGTTTGCTCCAGTCACTCGGGATGATAGGCTGACCCAGTGATGGTAAAGCTTTATTCAATGCCTGTATGGCGACTTCTCGTTGCTCACCGTCATCTAATTCAAACTCTTCATCGGAATTCCCTGAGTCGCTGGATCTGGAGAAAGTCTCGAGATGGTTCGAAACTTCTTCACTTACGCCCATTACACAGTTGGCCATCTTCTTCTGCTTCAAACTTATGTGACACGACTTGCAAATAAACTGGCCATGTCCAATTTCTTCGGCAAACGATTCACGAACGTCATCACTCACTCGAATAATTGACTTGTTTACGCGAGAATGATTTTTCTTCCCAAGTGGGTTACAACACAGTTTAAAAGTAGGCATACTTCCACTGATTTTGCTCGCAACGTAATCTTCTCGAAATACTTGTCTCGATGTCACCTTGACAAATGTGATCGAAATCTGGAATACACTGTATTTATGCACTTAGTGCTAAGATTGAGGTTTACGTTCATTGGCTAAGCGAATCATAAAATTCGACCATTTACAATGTCCTTGTAATGACCTGATGTCTTCGAGATTGACCTCTGCTCCACCCCCCCCCCGCGTTGGTGACGTCGCCACCACAGCGGGGGTTTCCAGGTACGCACCCCTTATCACATTCCAAGTATTAATTTAAACCCAAACTATGAATTCCATTCATTGATAGATGAGTAAGAATACCAGGAAGAATACAACGTTGTCTATAACGCCAATTAAATACTGCCTTCATCAGCTCCCCTTTTGTTGTTTTTATTCCTAAGTTATGTGTCATAATGATTCCCGTACAAATTTCAAAATTATAAAAAGAAAATAATCTCGTAGGGTTTCAGAATGCGGCAATTGATTTAATTTCGGGGGATAGCATGCGAAGGAATCAATGAGTATGATTCTCTGACGGCTTACTTGCGGCCTAACTCAGCGGGGTTGTTGAAATTATCTCGACGCAGCCTCACTAAATAATTATTATCTCAGACTCTATATGAGATTACTCCATGAAAATTGGACAGCGGATTTCATGATAAGCATTCTATAGAATATATTTTTTTCGGCATTTTTTCGAGATAAGTTTTTTTTTTACAACATTTTTTTTTTTTATTTATCAACAAATCGACAGTAAATTTAATTTTTTTGTAAAATATATTTTTTTATATGAATATATCACTCTTTTGCAGTAAAAAAGTACTTTTTCATTTTTCCGATATAACAGATATTTATCGAGTTATGATGCTGTAAACAATTACTTACCTGATGGTACACCAGATTTTGTTTATTGAATAACTAACGAAAAAAAATTTTTTTTTTTCCTCGCGTTTACCGACTTTTCTAAACCTCCTCTACAACATATTCGAAACCCAGGAAAAAACAATTTTTGGCCTATTGAAATAGCGTGGAATGCCTCGTATAGAAAAAAAGATTTCCCGACTAGGAAAGGTCCCGTCTTTTAATTGGAGGGGCTGCGCAAGGTTCAACGATTTTACGCGAAAATTGTTCAATCGAATTGAACGTTCGTAGAAATGCTTAGAAAAAAAAATCAAAACATAGTTTTTGATCGGAAATTTTCGGAATTTTCCGGAAATGATGTTCATTTTCTCCTCCCACCCCTCCTCCATCGTGAAAATCGAAAAAGAAACCTTTAAACGTCATTGTTGGCAAATTCACCATTTTTTTTTCTAATAGTTTTTTTTGAAAAATTCAGAAAATTTCCGATCAAAATCATATTTGAAACTTGTTCGCTTCTATAATGCTCAAGTATAGAAAAAGAACAGACAAAAAAATGAATATTCGAAAAATGATGAATATCATAGAACCAAGATCATATTTCATGGAAACATTCTCTATTTTCTATATCATCATCTTCTATGGAAATATCGTCTTCTTCCTACAATATTATTATTTTTCGAATATTCGCTTTTTTAGAATCATTTTTCTGCAGATGAGCATCATAGGAGCGAACAAGTTTCAAAATGGTTTTGATCGGAAATTCTCTGAATTTTTGAGATAAAATATCAGATTTGAAAAAAAAATGGCGAATTTGCCAAAAATGACGTTTAGAGGTTTCTTTTTCGATTTTCATGATGGAGGAGGGGTGGAGGGAGAAAATGAACGTCATTTTCGGAAAATTCAGAAAATTTCCGATCAAAAACTATATTTTGATTTTTTTTTCTTAGCATCTTTTAATACGTTCTATAAGAGCGAAAAATTTCAATTCTAAAACGCGTAATCATGCGGACGGCTTCTAATTGAGCCGCGGGACCTTTACGCGTTGAAAAATCTTCTTTTATATACATAAGANTATATATATATATATATATATATATATAGAGAGAGAGAAAGACACGCGTTAGTTTGGGCGCCGGCCACCAGGGGCGCTGGCAGTTAGTAGGAACGTTCGGAATGACCCCCCTATCGAAAACATAGACGTATCCACGTCAAAAACGAGTAAAAAGTAAAATCTCCGGTTCAAGTCATATTAAAGTTTTGTTCTCTTTTAGTTTCAGTTATCTTTCTGGTTTATTTCGGATTTTAGGGGATTGATTTTCGGTTTTATGATTGAGGGAAAATTTACAGTAATTGTATTTTCCTAGTTATGTTTTTGTATTTTGAAATCTCGCGGATCCTAAGAGGGACAACGATCCACCACGGTTCAGAGCCGATACACCGAGCTTCCCGGTGAGATCTTGCTGATCTCGTTGAGTGCAGGCTGCTGATCACAGAGGTTGAGGTGAAACACTCACGCTCCCTGGCTAAGGCGCTTCGTGGAGTCATTGGATTCACCAGTGCAGCTGGAAGGCCATGTGGATGAACATAGCCCACTCGTCTGCATGGATCGCCATGGGCTATTCTCTATTTAGATTTGTTCACGGTGACTCCAGGATGACTCCCGGGAGGGTGACAGCAGCGAAAAAGTGCACTTACTCAGGTGTGGAGTGCATTCGCGAGAGGAAAAGGCGAACAACTGCCTTAATTCCCCCTTTCCGAACCTCCAGATAACTATCGTTCAGTCATTATGTATAAAAACTCCTTGGGTTTATTCATAAAAAATATATTTAACGGCGGAATGCCTAAATAAGTCTAAAACCCATTTGAATCAAAATCCCCGCGTGGTCGTTTACATGAGCCCGCCCCAGCGGCAGTTAGACGGCGTGTCAGTCGCACCACCCAGCTGAGAACCTCCGCCGGTTAAACGCAGTTTACGAGAGAGTTGGACCCGAGCAGCCACTGCGACGACATCCCCGAGAATATCGACAACGATCGAGAGAGTTGATGGAGACCATCGCCGAGGACCCACACGAGGAACATGGTAAGTACTTTTTTATTCACCATGTGAGTAGTGTGATAGGGGGGGTTCTGGATCAACGTTTTGGTTGACCAAGTGTTGGATGGTAGTCCGCGAGGGGGAGTGTTGGGTGAAAAGGTTGATTAATTCGCGGGTCGCGGTTTAATTCGCGAGTTGATGCGCGGACCCGCGGTTTAGTTCGCGGGGTAGCGGTTTAATTCGCGGTTTGATTTATTAATTCGCGGTTTTCCCCCTCGAACTGACGAAAGGGTTAATTAATTCGCGGTCTGATTCGCGGTTTGATTAATGAATTCGCAATTTCTTCTATCGAAATGATGAAAGGGTTAATTGATTCACGGTTTGATTAATTAATTCTCGATTTGTTCCCCTCGAAGTGATGAAAGTGTTAATTAATTCGCGGGATCGCGGTTTAATTCGCGGTTTGATTAATTAATTCGCGATTTTTTCCCTCGAAGTGATGAAAGGGTTAATTAATTCGCGGTTTGATTCGCGGTTTGATTAATTAATTCGCAATTTCTTCCCTCGCAGTGATGAAAGGGTTAGTTCATTCGCGGTTTAATTCGCGTGGTTGAAGTTTAATTCGCGGTTTAATTAATTAATTCGCAATTTTTTCCGTCAAAGTGATGAAAGGGTTATTTAATTCGCTGGTTAATCAATTTAATTCGCGGTTTTGCGTTACAAAGGACCTTCTCGGTGGAACTAGTCAATCCACCCCGCGAGGGGGTGAGTGAAAGGGTTAACTAATTCGCTGCTGTAAAAATCATAGAAGAGGCTCCTCTTCTTCTTCAAACATTGACACCTGTGTCTATGAAAAGAGATTGAGACAAGAACACTGAGACAATAAGCAGACAATAACCACTAGTCAGTCATTTGATTCGCGGATTGATGAATTCATTTGCAATTTTTTGATTGAAAGGAGTTTGATTGACAACGTATTCAATCCACCCCCGCGAGAAGGTGGGTGAAAGGGTTGATTAATTCGCGGGTCGCGGTTTGATTCGCGGATTAATCTTTTAATTCACGCTTTGGGTACTAGAGAGAGTCACCCACCGAATAATTAATCGTCCCGAGTGAGGGGGTGGGTGGGTGGATGAAAGGGTTAATTAATTCGCCGGCTAATTAATTGATTAATTAATTAACATATTCTTGGACTTCAGTGGAAACTATTCACGACTGAATTATTCCACCCCGCGGGGTGGGTGGGTGAAAGGGTTGATTGAAGCACGAATCAATTAATTCGTGATTCCAATTCATGAGCTGGTGAGGAATGGTCTCAAACATGTCTGAACCTGCAAGCGTCAGAGAGGGTCCACTTGATATAGCCGACTTGAGTTCTTCACAGTTGGGGGTCAGCCATTTCAGCCCCCCACGGACAGCATCGAACTTCTTGGGATTTCCGGTCCTTTGATGTTTACCGACCCACTTGACATTTTCCAGACATGCTCGAACTTGGGATTTCCGACCCTTTGACTTCACCGACCCACTTGACATTTTCCAGACATGTACGAACTTGTATCTACTTGGGATATCCGGCCCTTTTATGTTTACCACTCCCATTTCTCGGAAAATCGTTGTTTAAATAATGTGTATTTGTTTATTTAATGTTGAAAGTGGAGGGTACAAGAGTGGGGGGTTGATGTATATAACCAACAAAATTTCTATGTCCACCATCAGTTCGGTACATCGTTCTCTATGAAGAACAGTCTCCAGCGACAGGAATTTAAGAAACGTTTAAATCTTCTCCTCAAGAACATTCAAGAAGTGAAACAAGTTATACAGTTTCGCAGTGACATTCGACTACTCTGCTGCAATCTTCAGAAGACTCAAATTCAAGCTTAAGTTTGATACTCGAGTGAAAATTCATCATGGATTTCAACAAAATCAACGCTGTGGCACAATTGAAAGATCTTCCTCTCGTGAAACTTGAGGATTTGGAAGCTGGAGCTTTCTACATCATCACCGCAGCTCGCAAGGTGAATACAAAATATGGAGTGGGTGTTATTATCCATCTCTCGGACTCTCATTCAGTCTTTGTGAATACTAGACTGGCCAAGTTCTTCGCTGAGAATATAAAGATGTTCGAGAATTTCCAAAAATATATCGGAAAAGGTACAATAACATTGGAATATTTGGGAGGAAAATACCACAATATCCGCCTTCACCCCGATCCAATGCTGCTGCTTGCAAGCCCTGCTGATGAGGTGAATTTTGACGTTATCAACGCTGTCGCAGAGTTCAAAGAGCTGCCCCTGATAAAAATATCTCAATTGCAGCGTAACTATGTGTACACCATCACTGCAGCCTTCAAAGTAGAGACAAAATATGGTGTAGGAGTTATTTTGCATTTGTCGAATGCTCATTCTGTTTTCGTGAATAACAGATTGGCCAAGTTTTTTGAGGATAATCCTAAACAATTTGAGAATTTTTGCAATCATATCGAAAAGGGTTCACCAACGTTGCAGTATTCCGGAGGAGAATCTAACGCCGTCTTCATGCAACCTGATCCGAACGTGAAAGTTGAAAATAAGGCAGATCAAGCGCATTTCGACAAAATCAATGCTGAATTAAGAGAACTCCCACTGCTCAAACTGTCTCAGCTGGCATTGAACACTCGATACACCATTACCGCAGCTTTGAAAGTTAATACAAAGTATGGAATGAGTGTAATCGTTCATTTAAATAATGCCCATTCAGTTTTCCTGAACCGAAGGACGTCAAAATTCTTCATCGAAAATCCCAAACAATTCGATGGCTTGTTGGATGAAATCAAGCGAGGATCAGCCAAGTTGGAATACCTGGGTGGGGAATACAATGAAATTAAATTCCATGCAGAGGATGAGGGGAGTACAGCTTAAATGACGAATGAAATAGAACAAGGATCTTTTTTTTTTTGTCTTTATTCATATATTTTGTATACAAAAAAATGATTCTTTTTATGATTATAACCAATGTAATAGTATATAAGAAGTACATGAATAAATTTTACAATTGAAAATATTTTTTTCTTTAAAAATTATTACACTTCACACAATCCCTTATCATAGGAGGTGGCCCATCAAAATTATCACCTCTGGTTTCTCGATGATGTTCCAAACAAAGTTTACATCCTGCAATGGACCAATCAGCTCGCATCTCATCAGTCAACTTGTCCCAAGCATCATGAACGTGTGACGCAGCAACAGTACTTATAAATGAGTGGGGTAGGTAGGCAATATCCTCACAATCCGTTGATTTCGCCAAATCCCACTCTTTTCGAATCATCTCTTCAACTTCGTCACACTACTATCACACACATCTTGCGAAACAATTCCAAGGTGCAGTGACATTACTTCCAATTACTAAAGAGAAATACGTTTCCTTCACGAAATCGGTCAAATCGACAAGAGTCCACTTGAGATTCATTGACTCATTCCGTTTTATGGCAAGCAGTAGTGATAAACTTTCGTCATATTTAGAGGATGAAAAAATGGGAATCACAGCCAGTCATTACCCCCAAAAACGACAAAATTCGAACTCGTTATACACAAAAGAGTTTTCCCATACGAATACTTAGATTCATGGGGGAAATTAAGTGAACGCCAATTACATCGGAAAGAAGACTTTTATTCTCGATTGAATGATGAGAATATATCAGATAAAGATTACAATCATGCATGTGATGCATGGAAAAATTTTGACATCAAGACACTCGGTGAATACGCGGATTTATATCTGAAAACTAACGTCTTGTTGCCAGCCGATATTCTCGAGAATTGTCGATGGAGTTGTTTCGCCTCATACAACTTGGACCCCCTTCATTATTATACTGCGCCAGGACTGGCGTTTGATGCAATGTTAAAAATCACTGGAGTTCAATTGGAATAATTACAAGACCCTGAGATGTTCCTTTTCATTGAGTAAGGCATTCGAGGAGGATTGTCGCAGTGTTCAAACCGATATGGAAGGACAAATAACCACTACATGGGAGCTGATG